GCTTAGGTTCCCTAACCAGGAAGAGTGATTCAGTGATTAAGAGGGTGATTAAAATATCTCATTGTGACCCATACTGAAAAATGAAGTGCTGCTTGCTGTTTCAGAGCAGGTTAGAATGGAAGACATCCTGATGGATCAAGATCAAAGTGTAGAATATCATCTATCGCAATTTCATTGTACTCTGAGCAGCTATCTAGAGTCCTGGAACAGTGTGCTGACAATAATATTCTTCTGGGTTCATTGTTTCTTCAAAGGTTTGTAGGGGACAAACCATATGGGACAAACTGTGACAAAACATATGGGAACGCCGCAGAGATTTTCGGAATAATAGATACTGGCCTGCTCTATGGAACTCTTTCCTGCATCAGTGGGGCAGTACAACAAAGGAGTTTAGGTAGCCTTAGACTATTCTATTTGAAAGAATTTTCAAACAGAATCTAGATACTAAGTTGTGAAATTCCCTTCGTGAAAAGTCTGCAATAATGCAAGTCCTGTTACCAACATTCTTGGGCCAAATGTGTTCCAGCTGAAAGAAGGAGAGGGGATAAAATTAAGAGGAGAAGGGGTAGTGTCAGTGTTTATGAAGTGTGTCCTGTGTACAAGGTATTCTACGGCCCAACTCATAGGCACCATTTTGTTTCTGTGAGGTTCTATCACTTTCATTGTACAGATCAAGACACCAAGTTTCAGAGGGGAGACGTATCTTGCCCCAAATGCCACACTCAGTAGCAGAGCCAGGATTGGAATTCGGGGTTATGCAATTCTAAAGCCTTAAAGCCCTAAAGGTCCATTCCAGCCTTAACACATACAGTTTGTTTTCTTAAAAGTCCTCCCAAGAAAGGAGTGATGCCAGATTGCGGATGATGCTAAAATCAGTATGTATGTGCTTGGCAGATGGTAATGGCATGTCCCCACCATAGGTCTGAGTCATGTAAAACACTTTGTGTCTGGCTCCAACCTGCCTCCCTAGACTCATCTTCTCTATACCCTTCATGCATCATCTTCTCTACTGGAGCCTCCCCATTCAGTATGCATTCCATGGCTTTCTGTAGTTCTGAGGCTTTACACTTACTGCTCTCTTGGCCTTGACTACCTCCTTCGTTTTCTCTAAAAGCTCCTCTCACTCTTCAAGGCCCAGATTAAACATTGCTTCCCCCAATCACTCAGGAAAATGATTCACGATTGCTCCTGGGTTCACAGGACACTTTGTTCCTAGAACTTTTCAAATTTATACTATACTATACTATACACTATACTATACTATACTATACTATACTATACTATACTATACCATACTATACTATACTATATTATACTATACTACATTGTACTGTACTATACTATACTGTGCTATACTGTACTGTACTGTACTATACTATACTATACTATACTATACTACACTACACTGTACCGTACTCTACTCTACTCTACTATACTGTACTTTTATACTATAATGAATCTTTGTGTTCACCCCTTTTTTTAGTGGTTTGTGAGTTTTTTAAAGACTGGGACCATGTACTATTACTGGTCAATGTATACCTAAAGTTGATCACTGTGCCTGAAGCATATCATGTGATCAGTAGACACCTGACAAATAAGGGAAAGGGTGAATGAATGAATGGATATAGCATTTCAATAACAAGGTATTAGGATAATCAAAGTGTGGCACTCAAAGTAGACAGGTGTTAAGCACAAAGTGTGGCACTCAAAGTAGACAGGTGTTAAGCACAAAGTGTGGCACTCAAAGTATACAGATGTTAAGCACTGCTGTCTCTTTCTATCCATGGCGTCTCTATTTTCTGACATTTTTGTGACTTCAACATCTCACATTTTCATCTGTTAGTCTTTTGACTTCCTTCTCAATCATCATCTTTGCTATTTAAATTATTCATAAATTTATACCATAGCTTATCTCATAACTGATTATTTCCAAAATAGTAACAGCATGGAGATGTGATTACTACTTTTCTTTCACAAATACCTTGGATAAACTGCTAATATTTTTGCTGATATTTGGTGGGAGATGGAGTCATGTGCTTTCTTATAAAAGCAGCATGATCCCTAGTGGAAGAGAAAAGTATATAAAGTCAGAGGGTGTGAGACAAAATTCTGTTTTTACAACTTAAATGCTGTATACAGGCTGTGCCCTGTACAAAGGCATTTGGCCAAGATGGCAAGTGTGGCCTGACTTCCAGTGGATACTCCATTTGCTGAACCTTCTGCTTACAGGGCTGCAATCACCCAAAGAGTGTGCCTTTCCTAATTCACACTAAGGCGTGGTATAGGGTAGCAGAGGTGTAGGCTGTTTCACACACAGAAATTACTTAATTTCTCCTAAATGTAGGTAATACTACCTAATCTTCTCTATGAGCTCATTAATTCCTTCATTCATTTATTCAGTCATTCTAAAACCCATGGAGGAGCCAGCCTAGAGGTTAAAAGCTTAGATTTTGGAGTCAGACATCAAGAAGTGGCCATGATTCTATATGATTATGACTTAGTTCATTGGAGGTGGGTTGAAATTTCCCAAAAGAAATTTACTAAGGAACAAGCATAAATTTAGAAACCATCCATGGAGAATGTTGTATGTGTAGTCATAAAACCAGATAACTAGAATATAGACCTTGGTATACTCACTGCAAAAAAAGCTCATGAGACTGTTCTATATCCAGCCACAGATGAAGACCTCTGTTCCTGCACCTTTGGGTAATTCCTCTTCTACTTCCTTCTCAGATTTCACCTGCCCTAAGGCAATGGCTAGAACAAGTCTCTACAAGT